CACAAAAAAGGCCTAAAAACCTAGTCTGGAACGGGCCGTTCCAAACTAGGAGAAAGGCCAAAAAATAATAGGCTAGAACGGGTCGTTCCTAACCCAGAACGGGGCGTTCCAAAATTGGAACAGGCCATTCCAAGATTAGAACGGGTCGTTCCAAGCTCATAAAAAGGGAGTTAAAACCTTAACTGGAACGGACCGTTCCTAAACCGGAACGGGCTGTTTCAAGTTATGGAAAAGGCCTAAAATTCCTTCTTTGGAACGACCGTTCCATCCTAACCAAGTATGTGTTAATCCCATCGCTGGAACGGGCCGTTCCAATTTCAGAACGGGCCGTTCCAGTTACGAAATTAACACATAATGGCCAGATCCAGAACGGGCCATTCCGATTTTAGAACGGCCCGTTCTGGACCCTTTCTGAAGCCTATAAATAGACAGCTTGGGTTCATTTCCCAGGACTCCAAAAATTTCGTACAGACTCCTTAGGGGCTCGAAATTTCTCTCTTTTTCTCTCTCTTTCTCTCTTTTGTATTTCTTGAGATTTTGTGAGGCATTGTAGTGTGAAAGGTTGCCACAAAGTACCTAAATCTCCATATTTGAAGATTAATAGAGCTCGTTCAAGAGGTATTTCAGCTAATTTTCTTCTCTCTCTTTTATTTCTTATTTTTGATAAATATTATTTATAATAAAAGCAATCATGTAGACATTTTAGGGTCAATTGTATAATTTAAATTTCAAGCATGTAAATTGTTATTAATAAAAGGGGATTTAATATTTATATTATTATTGTTTATAACACTAACTTCATCATAGGGTACCAATTGAGGGCGTTGTAGGGGTGCTTAATACCTTCCCTACACGTAATCGACCCTACACGTAATCGACCCCCGAACCCAATTCTAGTTTTCAAGGCCATTATTGAATTTTTAAAAAACCTTTTCTTTTTCCAATATTTTGAGTAAAACATTGGTGGCGACTCCATGAACTCATTTTTCAAAATCATTAATTAAGGATTAGTCTGGTGTTCGGACATTCCTTAATTGATGAGACTTTCAAAAGGATGTCTAAACCATTAGTTGCGAGATCGAAAATTTTCGGGTTGCGACATGAAGGGGTCTCTAGCCTTGCCTATATAATGTTTGGGATACTCCATTGATTCACACATTCAGAAAAGACTAAGGCTAGAAGACTTCTTTATTCTCTCTAAATTTTCTTTCTCTAATATTTGTATGGTTTCTTTGTAATAATAATGGCTACAAGTGGAGGTATGTTTCCACATTATACTCTATGTTATTTATTCTTATTCTGTAATCTATATCAAGGACCGATAATCAAGTAATGAATATTTTATTATATTCATCAAAAGAGGTCCAATAGAAATCGCTTGGGAAAAAGATTTTCTTGTTGGAGGAGGAGGGGGAAACCATAAAGGTGACTAAGCATGGCCAAGGACAAGTGAACTTGTCCTCATGCCTTAACATGAAAGGTTAAGAGATGAGAAGGGAAAAAGGAAAGTTGAAGGATGAAAACAAGTCCTTAACTGTAATACGGTGCTAGGTAACCTATTTATAGTTTAATTACTCTAAGGGGAAAGGTATATAAGGTCTAGTTTGGGAACATAACTTCATAAGTTCCTTCTCAAAAGAAATCTAGAGAGAAGGACTTTGAAACTGTGAACTCCTTTTTCTCCAAAACTTCTCTGTCTGATTCCTTTCTTCCCATAGACTACTAATCTCTTCTTTTATTTCTTGAAATTCAGGCTAGAAAGCTGGGATTTTTGGAGATTGAAGCGGTTGGGTCGACTTCTTGAAGATTCTTCTTCCTCTTCTTTTCTAGGTTGTCTTTAAGCCGGATTCGGGTAAGGAAAGCTAGAATGTAATTATTTGATGGCGTATGAGTTTAGGAACTCAATTGATGCATGATTTTGGGGAATCAATGGCTGAATTAAGGGATTTTCTCAACTTTAGGGTTTCGGGCCATTTTTGGGAATTGGATGATTTTGATGCACTAGGTGTGTGCATGTGGGATCTTAGTGTGTTTCTAGATTGTCTGATGCTTGGATATCATAGTTTATGGATTTCATGTTATGGATTCTTCTAATTTTTAGGTCTTGGATGGATTTTTTGAGTTTGGGGTGCTGTTGTTTGAATTTGTGTCAGACGCATGTTCTTGGTGCTAGGCGTTCATTCAATAGAGCCAGCCATTTCCTAATCGCATCATGCGCGAGGTTAGTCATGCTGGGCGTGATTTGAGATGGGAGCCTCTAGATGAGTCACGTCGGGCGTGAGGAGGGCCATGCCAAGCACGATACCAAACAGTGGCTGTGTGTGGTGTTTTGTTGATATGGCGTTGGGTGCAAGTTGGGTGCGCCAGCATGGTTACCCCTATAGGTCTCTAACCTTGGGGCATCGGGCATGATGTAGGTCACGCCGAGCAGATTTCCAAAGGATTAGCCTCTGCTAGGCTGACATTGAGCGTAAAATTGGGTTATGTTGGGCGTGGAGACCCGTGGAAGTCTTCGACTTCGTGGCCACCAAGAACAAAGGTGAGCGCGCCAGGTAAGAGAGTCTCTATGAGTCTCTATTTTCTGTTGGGTCGGGCACAAGCAGGGCTGTGCCGAGTGTGAATCATACCATGTTGATGTGGTTGTGTTGGGATGCTTTTGCATGATTTAATGTTTAATGTTGGATCATATATGTAGGGTATATGATGTGAATGGATTGGTTCATATGTATTTAGAAAGGTATGAATGTTTTAAACATGATTGAATATGTATGTATATTCATATGAGAATGAATTTGATCATGATGATGGATTGACCATGTATGATGTATGATGCATTGTTTGCATGTGGTGCCTTATGGCATGTGTCTAGCCTAGGATTTTGAGGAGATGGAAAAAATGTTTTTGAACTAGAAGAGCTCACATAGAGTCACTAGAGAGTGGCGCTTGGATATGTCACTAGTATGTATAAGAGTGGTGCTTGGATAGGCCACTGATTTTGGGTGAGAGTGGTGCTTAGATAAAACATTAGTTTGGGTGAGTTACCTCTAAGTCCTTAGCTAGTGTTGGAGTAAGGTATGGGGTCAAAGGTTATTCCCTTAATCAAGTACTGAGGAAGGCGCATGGTTCCTTGTGGATAGTCGGTGGGCGAACTCTACAAGTGACTTGGTAATGCATGTCAAAGTTGTGGTAAGCCTATACCTAGTTGTGTTATACCTGACGGTGGAAACGGACTTCTAATTATGTAAGTGACACTATCTGAGTAAACACCTGGAGGGATTTAATATCCCGATTTGCTACTGACCCAACAGGGTGCTTCAAGCATATAAAAGTGGTCGGAGTGTTTTGGTAGGATGAGATGTCGCTTATATTGCTCTGTTTGTTAAGGAGATCTCCTAGGTGAATGCGTGACGATGCATTAGATGATTGATATGTATTGATATCTATCATGAGTTGCATTTATTGCATAATTGTTTTGTGATAGAGTGAATTGTTTGGCTCTATGAATATGTTGGGTGATATCGATGAGTGCATTGTATAGATGTAGACTCTTACTTGTATGATTATTTATTGAACTCTAACTTACCCTTCTATTTTCATGTAGATGGATTGCGATGATTATACTATGTATGGAAGCAAGTCAAGGTTAGGCTGGAGACAGACAAGATGTGATCGTTATTGGCTGGAGAGTCTTACTCTAGTGTTTGAGTCACCACCTTGGGTGGCTGTTGTTGTGCTTGATCGATACTAAGAGAGTGGATATATTCTTTTTGGATGACTGTATATACATCATATTTATATTTTTTCATATAAACATGGTTTTTATTTTATTATTCAGATGCATGTTTATATTGCTATCCAATTAATAGTCTCTCTCTCAATTAAACTTTTTGATTAGTACAATTCCACAAAGTGTAGAGATCATAACAGGTCGTTATATTAATTACTTAGAATTTTTTTTTGTAGCAGAATTATTTGCTTGCAAATAACAATGTTTGAAGATAACCATTACAAATATTTCAAAGTGTACTTATAAACTTGTTTCATCTTCCTTCTTCACACGAGAAATATTTGTTGGTACCATAAATGTTAATATTAAATATTTCACCAAATTACCATTTTTTTTATTATATCTAAGAAACTACTTTATCCATTTTTTTTTACAAAAAGGAATGAAACATTTTTCACATTTTAGTTGTAAACAACTTTTGTACGAACTACACCTTTTTCAAAGAGCATGTTTTATTTATTTATTTTAATTAGAAAAATATCATGCTACCTTAAAAGTGACTAATTCCAAAAAAGCTCAAGTTTATTTATTCTACTAAGAAAGAGAATAAAAACAAATGAGAAAATATTCGAGAACATTAAATAATGTATTACAATCTTAGTATTTGGCGATGCAATAGCCAATGTATTAACGTTAAAGAATCCAATCCTACGTAGCATGTCACTATGATGCTTTATCTAATCCAGCCTTGTTCAATAAACTAAAAGGAATTTTATTAAAATCAGAAATAATTTTGTTAACCATTTAATTCTAAAATTATTTCATGCTACCTCTTATATAAATTTGCCATTATTTTGTCTTCGGACAAGTGACTTGGAAAGTGAATGCAATAATGGCAACATTGTTTTTGTTTTCTTTTCTTTTTTCTGATAAGGATAATTAATTACGAATGCACACGACCAAGAAAAATGAAAAAGAAGAAGAAGATAATAATAAAATAGAGACCGGCACCATAGGACGTGGTTTACTTTGACTTGACTCACTTCACCATCTTGCAGTCTTTCCCACTCAGTTTTCCTCTTCATAAATATTCTAAGAGTAATTCTAACATGCATCCATGCACCATGCATCTGTCACCGTTGGATCAGAATAAAACACAAATAATGTTACTTTGTTTGGATCCAATTTTCTCACATACACGTAGCATGACGCAGCTTACTTAAAAATTGCATTGAGAAATCACTTTTGAAGGGAGTTGCTTGCCAAATTCAATCGGAACATAAACACTGGAAAACAAAGGGTCTATAAGCCATCATTCGTCTGTTCACTTTTTCAGCCATTGTTTTGTTTCATTGTGTGTTTCTCTCCGTATACTCAGATGAGAAATCCCCACGTTCCATTCCTTTCCATCATATTCTGCTACTGCTTCTGGATACACCACAGTGTTTACTTCACTGGGGTATCTGGCCAAATTGTTGAGGATCAACAACAATCATTGCTCAAACTAAAGAACAGCCTCGAATTCGAGCATGAAAAATCTAGTAAACTTGTGTACTGGAATTCAAGCATAGATTGCTGTGAGTGGCGGGGTGTAACCTGTGATGAAGAGGGACACGTTATTGGCCTTGACCTGAGTGGAGAATCAATCAATGGAGGATTTGACAATTCAAGTAATCTTTTCAGTCTGCAAAATCTCCAGATATTGAATTTGGCTGATAATAAATTCAGTTCTGAGATACCATCTAGATTCAACAATTTGAAGAACTTAACATATCTGAATTTATCAAATGCTGGCTTTATGGGGCAAATTCCAATAGAGATTTCTTCCCTGACAAGGTTGGTAACTCTAGATATCTCTTCTCTTGACTCCTATTTATATGGGCAACCTCTGAAACTTGAAAACTTTGATCTACAAATGCTTGTTCAAAACCTCACCATGATTAGGCAATTGTATATGGATAGTGTAATTGTAAAAGCTCAGGGAAATGAATGGTGCAATGCTTTGTTGAAACTAGTTAGCCTGCAGGAGCTGAGCATGTCAAACTGCAATCTCTCCGGACCCCTTGATCATTCCCTGACAAGACTTGAGAATCTATCAATCATCCGCCTAGATGAGAACAATTTATCATCCCCAGTGTCAGAAACCTTTGCTAATTTTCCAAATTTAACAACTCTTCACCTTAGTAGTTGTAGATTGACTGGAAAATTTCCAAAGAAGATCCTTCAGTTAGCAACATTGTCTGATATAGACTTATCATTCAATTATGATCTTTATGGATCTTTGCCTGAATTCCCGCCGAATGGTCCTTTTCAGACACTGATTGTAAGTCACACAAGGTTCTCGGGAGTATTACCAGCTTCTATAAATAATCTTGGGCAGTTATCCACATTAGATCTTTCTAATTCCCATTTTAACGGAACACTACCTAGTTCAATGTCAAGACTCGGGGAACTCACTTATCTGCTCTTGTCATTTAATAACTTCACTGGTCCAATTCCGTCCTTGAATATGTCCAGGAATCTCATCCATTTAGACCTTTCACATAACGATTTCACAGGTTCAATCACTTCTGTTCACTTGGAAGGCCTAAGAGAACTGGTCCTGGTTGATTTACAGGACAATTTACTGAATGGAAGTCTTCCTTCCTCTCTATTTTCTTTGCCATTGCTACGAAGTATACAACTTTCCAACAACAGTTTATCTGGTAGTATTCCTCAATTCTTGTGCAATCATTCAAGTCTGCTAGTACTGGATGTTTCCTATAATCTCTTCAATGGGACAATTCCAGAGTGCTTAACACAGAGTGAGACACTCGTGGTATTAAATTTGCAACATAACAAGTTCCATGGCAGTATTCCAGATAAATTTCCAGTATCTTGTGCTCTGAAGACTCTGGATTTCAATAATAATCTATTGAAAGGTACAATTCCCAAATCCCTTGCAAATTGCACATCATTAGAGGTGTTGGATCTTGGAAACAATCAGGTAGATGATGGATTTCCAGACTTCCTAAATACAATATCCACACTTCGTGTCATGGTTTTGAGGAGAAACAAATTTCATGGTCAAATTCAATGTACTACTAAAAGTACTTGGCATATGCTTCAAATCGTTGATCTGGCTTTCAACAATTTCAATGGTTTACTTCCTGGAAATTGTTTCAAAACTTGGAAGGCAATGATGCTTGGTGAATATCATGGTGGAACAAAGCTCAATCACATTGGATCTCAGGTCCTTACATTTGGTGGTATATATTATCAGGATTCTGTGACACTTACAATCAAAGGATTACAGTTGGAGTTTGTTAAAGTCCTAAGTCTCATAACATCTGTTGACTTCTCATCCAACAATTTTCATGGAACAATACCAGAAGAGCTTATGAATTTTAAAAGAATTATTTTTCTCAACTTGTCACATAATGCTTTAGAAGGCCAAATCCCTTCATCTATAGGGAATTTAAAACAGATTGAGTCATTGGACCTGTCAAGCAACAATCTTGATGGAGAAATTCCCACACAGCTTGAAAATTTAAACTTCCTCTCATACCTGAACCTTTCCTTTAATCATCTGGAGGGAAAAATCCCTGTAGGTACACAGCTTCAATCATTTGATGCATCTTCCTTTGCTGGTAATGTAGAATTATGTGGACCACCTTTGATCAAAAACTGCAGTGGTGAAATACATGGGCTGCCAATGTCACCACATGGAATTGGATGGAACATCCTGAGAGCCGAATTGGGATTTGTTTTGGGCCTTGGACTTGTTATTGGTCCCCTTCTCTTTTGGAAGCAATGGAGGCAACACTACTGGCAGCGTGTGGACTTCATTCTGTGTTGTATCTTCCCCCAGCTCAGCCTTGAATACGAAACCCGGGGTGGACATGGCTATCAAGTTTTAAGGTGGAGGTATTAGTCATTAAGGAGTAGTCAAATGCTAATAGCAAGTTAGCCACACTTGCACCTATGAGAATGTCTTCTTCAACTTGCATTTCTCTTTTACATTGCAATTTGCTTTCGGTGATTTCATATTTCATATAAGTTAAGAAACAAAATAAGAACAAAGTATAGGGTATATTTGGATAATATTATCTGTAAGCACTTATAAAAAAATGTGAAAAAGAGATATTTTTTTTTTAAAAAATAAAATTAATTTATACACAGATTAATTTAGAAAAATTTTCATGTTAACTTCTTTTAAGCTTGTTCATGTTTTTTTTTTATCTGTATAATTAATTTTAACTTATAATTTTTTTCTTTTCTTATAAAATGTTTATAAAAATACTATCTATACATACTAGTAATAATATAAGTGGAATACATTATCCTAAAAAAAACTTGAAAATCATTTGATATTTCATTTTATTAGTTTAAATTGATGGATAATCATAAAAAATATTTTGTACGTTGACTTGAATTAATAAAATGAAATATTAAATAGTTTTCAATTTTTTTAAAATTTGCAGACTTTATCTATTCATTAAAAACTTTAAATTCAACGATTGGATCGCTAAAATTTAATATAAAATATAAATTATTAAACGAAATAAGTGTATAAATAAATGAATTTCTCCTCATATATATATATATATGAAATTGAAACAAAAACATCAAAAACTCAATTTCATTATAACTAGGAATTGAATCTCATATTAGAGTGAAAAAATGAGAATAGTGAAAAAGACTGTCATGTGAAATTAAAATTAAATTGAGTGAGAGGTGAGTTAGATAGATGTGAAGATGTAATATATAGAGGGTAGAGGCTAGAGCTGTCAAAGTGGGTTTTGGTTTGTGGGCCAACCCAATCCACCTTGAAAACGGGTCAGGTCAGGCCAAAAATGAAAAAACTTCATAATGGCTAAAAAGAATTCAACCCGGTCCACCTGGGTTGAACCCATGGTGGGTCAGACTACCTACTTAACCCATTTACACACCCATCAACCCAACTTACCAATGACCCACTTAACCACTTATTATTTAAGTATTATTTTAACAAGGTACCATTTTTTTTAGATAAAGATGAAGTTGATGTTAAAAGACATGAAATTACTATATATTTATCTACTCAAGATTTCGATGAAGTTTAATATTGATAGACAATCATTCTAATTAAAGGAATTTTTTATTATTTTAATTATTTAAAGTTGTATATTTTTTTAATTAAGTTTAATGTTATATGCATGGTAATCAATTTCACAATTTTTATCTTAGATTAGAAGCTAATTAGATTGAAGTTTATTTTAAATTAGAATTTTTTTAAAAAAAATTAGATGGGTTGGTGGATTGACTCATTTAGTCTACCAACCCGTGATGGGTTGAACCAGGTTAAAATTTTTTTAACATGAAGGTTGGTGGGTTGGGCTGGACCAACTCACTTAAATAGTAGATTGAGGTGGGGTCTAACAGGACATGTTGTTTGTTTTGACAACTTTAATGGAGGTGAAATATAATAGAAAATAAAAATAAAGAAAAATTGAGACGTAATATGAATTATAAAATCCAAAATTGTGTGTAATCAAAATTAAGAAAAAAGATGAAGAAAAAAATGGTACTTTTCTAATGATGATTGTAATGTGATGAAAATTAGATAATAGAGGAGTGAGAGTAGTAGGCCAGTACAGGACGTCGGCTGAGCTTCCTTGGTCAATGAGTGTTTTCTGCACTGTCCAGTTGGCTATTTCCACAACGATGACCATGGGGTCATCTTGGTTAGGGCTGACGCCGGCGTAGTCTTCGTCGGAGAAGGAGATCGGCGGTGAGCTTTGGTGGAGGGCTGGGGTGGTAGAGTGGACGCAGTTGATGCTCCGCAGGTGTCTTCTTCGGGCCGAGCT